CTGACCAAAAGACACGTGGGCTCTGGGAACGAGATTGCCAAGTTCCCCACTGTTTTAGGTAGTCCTTCCGCTCTTAACACACGGATTTTGAGCATCGCAGAAATTTTTCTCCCATACAGCTCGGCTTGTGGACAAATTTAGCTAATCAGTATGAAGTTCTTTTAGGGTTGAATCTCAAATGTCCCTTGAGTGAGGGAAAAGTTTTGCGCGAACAGAGATTAGTTCCGTTGCCTTAGTCTACCCTTGAAAGGGCCGGGCTCAGTGTATTGTAAATGTGCTTCATTCGCTGCAAAATCCCCACCTGCTTTATTATTTGTTCCAGTTCTTTTGTCAGCATATATAATAACCCCTCTTTTCCTTCTCCGCAGCCGTGTATGTTCCTTGCTGGTTTCGTTTTGGGTTTTCTCATTTTCTATGTATTTAGCCCGTTGATTTTTAAGACGCAGCTCTGCTGTGGACCAAACGGCAAGGAAATAGGTAAGTAGCTTAATTATTATCATTTGACTGAAAAGGCGAATACTAATGACCTTCACGGGGAGGGGTGTGGGGGAGGAGGGCTTATTTTTTCACGAGGGGGAGGAGGAAGGGTAATAAAGAGGTTTTAAAGAGCGTGGAGGTTTATTTCCAGTTATAAATCAAGAGCGGACTTCGTTTTACTGTGGTTTCAATTAAAAATCGTCCAAAAATGCTACCATTAAAACAAAGAATTTGGCAGATGAATAACTTAAGAAATATGATGGTATCTATAAATATTTCCTTTGGTCCTCGTAAAACCGTTGGTTTTGCTGTATAGGGAAAGAGGGCTGAGTGGTGGGGCTTATTGAAAATCTGAAGCTGTGGAGGGAAAGGTGACGGGGCCTTGTTAGCGATAGGCGTTAGCAGGAACACACTTAAGAACCAACGCATCTCAGAACTTCCTTGCACAAGAAAGCTTTGTTTATAACATCTTGTTTTTCTCAGTGTGTGAATTTTCCATTAGACCTCATAACAAGGTTACGAGCTTGGTTTGTTTCTTGTCCTTCAGTGTGTCTGCCTCAATGCTCGTCAATACGAATGTCTCTTCTTTTGTTATTTTTTTTTAGCTCATGTTCTTTTCAGTGCGTTAGTCGGAGTGTTCGGCGGTTTCTTGGGATGTCGGTTATACAGACTTGGTGTGTTCACAATAGGAGAGTGCTTAGGACTGGTAAGTAGTACCCAGTCTTTTTCGGTCCCGAGTTGCTTTTTTTTCCCCTCTGTTTCAAAGCGATTCCTGGTGCATAACCTTTCATATGGAAATGAGTTCGATTTGCAAGACAATGAACGTGCAAGAGAATCTCATTTCTATCTGAAAGGTTGTGCTCCAACACTCGTTTTGAAACAGAGGTAAAAGCGACTCGAAAATGGCTTATTTCAGTGCGCAAAACGTTAGGGCTGTTGGTTCCGGAACTCCAAGAAGACAGAGTTTAGCAAATAAATGCGTGCCTCTAAAATAAAAGAAAATCTTTTCAAGTTAGTTTAGAATACCAGCCCCTGTTCGCGCTCATGAGCCCGCGCTCTTCCCTCCGAACACATTCTCTTTGGGAAGTCCTTCAGCCCCAGGGCGGAAATGGAGCCTACTTCAAGTTGCTTTCGTGAGATCTTGTTCCTGGTGATTTGATTTTCATGTGGTTTAGGATGTAAAAACTAATTAATGATTGGAAATTGTATTTTTTTTTTCCTTTTAGATTGTTGGACTGATGATACTAAGCACTCCTCTTTACAAATACTTTCACAGGTAAAAATGTACAGAGTAGAAGAGTTTGGGGCAATTCGAAAACAAGTGACGTTCTTAATCGGAAAATCTTCGGTCGCTGAAGAACTCGGAGAGATGTTTCAAAATCTTATCGCCCAATTATAGTTCATCGCGGGGGTAAGTTCGTACCCAGGGCTTTTCCCTTTGAAATTGGCAGGGGCGGGAAAAGAAAAAAGCCCTGGAATCGAGGTAAGGGAACTTCGGAAAAAGGTAACGCTAGTATGACGCAATAAGGGTCGTCAAACTGGTAAGCAACGTTGATGATTTGGACCGCGGGCTCACTCTATTCAGACATTGGTTTTCTTCCCAGCTGACATTCACTGACGAATTATTGTTATACTTTGTTTTCTCCTTTAGTAATATTGCTTATGCCGCCCTAATGGCATCAGTATCACTTATGTTTGGGTCGCTGGCTCACTTTTATGAGAAACCAGTGGTTGTCATAGCAACAGCTTGCGCTGGCTCGCTGGCTGTGCTTTATGGTAAGCATGGATAAACTAAAGGCGAAACATTTTGCTTTTCTACCGCAAGCATATTACAATTTATTTCAAAACTTGAACTTCCAAAGTAAGTGTAATTTCTGTTATTTTTTCAGGGGCAGATTATTTTCTACGGACAAGTTTTTCTGTTACAATAGAGAGCTCTCTGTTGCGAATCAGGGACGTTCTTTGGGATGGCCTGAGATCAGAGCTCTCAAATTGGACCTACAGGGCTAAAATTCCGGACCATCTGGCCGTCCGTTTTACCAGTAACTGTGAGTATTCAGAAACCCTTCTAGCGCAGGGTGGGAGAATTTACACCTGTTGTTCTGTTATTTTTTCTCTTATCGACTGCCTTGTTGGGCCTGTCAGAAATTAGCCGTGTAATTCGTAAAAAATCTGCGGCTTGGAGCTAAGTTTTTGTTGCATCCGTTTTTATTTTGCCCTGAGAAACACACGGTCGGTCTTTCTCATTTTATGCAAGATTGATTCAGGGTACATGCAGATGTAGTAAGTTGTCACGTGTCAGTGAGCTCCATCTCGGCTCCTTAGGACAGACCTTTATTTTGGGAGGGGGAGGGGAGGTTTGGGCAATTTCCAAACAAAATATCTGCACAGCAAAAACAGCCGAAAAAAAAATAGTGCAGGAGAGCAATTGGGAAAATAGTCAAGCGAGTGCTTTCTAATGAGGTGAGGAAAAAATTCCATGTCCCAGAAAATTGCTCAACCCCCCCCCTCCCCCCCCCCGCCCGAATCAAAAAAAGAATGGTCCGTCCGTTACCTTGCTCCAATTTACAAACAGGCCTCTAAACTTTGAGAAGTGAGCTTAATTCCATAATGGACTACAAATAAATCGAGAAAAAGGAAGGACTTTTTCAATTATATTTCCTCTTTAGCCATCCCAGTGTTTGTGTGTTGGGGTGTTAGTACAGCTGTAGGAGTCGCAATACAGTACAAGATAACAGCTAGCAACTTAAACAGTGGATCCAGTCTCCTACAGTTCTGCAACTGCTGTGATAGACCCAGACCAGACAGATGACATATCACATGGTCATCACGTGCCACGCAAGCTGGTCAATAATCAGAAAACACTGATGACATATGATCAGCTTGCCACGTGCAAGTCAATTGGCCCATAGTCATACACGACTGCTTGGCAATCGTGGGCTTTTCAAGTTCAACTAATTTGGCCAATCATCAAACACGACTGTAAATAAATCACTAGCTCGTCACGTGTACCCTTAACCAATCAATCATCATGCCCGACTGTAAACCATGAGCTTGTCACATGCAACACAAACTAGCCAATCATCATACGCGAATGGAGATCATAAGTTTGTCAGGCGAAATTCTAACCGGGCAATGACAGGTTTGGGAGCCGTGATCATGATATGACACTCAGTTACGTTACACAGCGTCAATAAAAGAGTTTGTATAATTGTAACGACCGGATATAACAGTTCGAAATAGGGAAGCGAAATTCAATAAAAAAAAAACGACTTACTTCGACTCTTCTGTGTTCTACTTGTGTTTCAATGGAGTTTTGGGGCAGATTCAACGCGATTTCGGTGAGTTATAGTTTAACTCAGTGCTTACCAACCTCGTTTCCAGGGTCTGTATTCTTCCCCACACCCTGGAGCGACAAAGAGGCGAGGAAGAGAGACCCTCGGAACAGGGTTGATCGTTTACCTCTCTTAACACTCGATGGAATCGCTTTAAAACGGCCCCAATAGTACTACGGAAACACAAGTGCATAACAGGAACGTAAGCAATTACAGGTTCTAAAGAGGTGCGTGGATCTGTGGTGTTTTGCTACTTTGTGAAATGCCAGTGAAGAGTCAAAAATGTTATTACTAAGCACTTCATATAACTCTAATAAAATCGCGCAATGCAAACGTTTAATAATTCGGATATTATTTACACATCCATTCAAGCAGTTTTTTTTTGTAACACACCACTCCAAAAATGAAGCAATGTAAATTTCCCGCACAGAAAAAAATTAAAAATGTAAATCGTCACATTATATACCCTGTTGCAGCAAGTGTGTAAGTCCGCGTGTTTTGCAAAACAATAGTCAATCATTTACAATTACTGACCTGACTGAAAAAAAAATTGACCACTCCCCAAGGAGGCAATGGAAACAAGCCGTGAAACAAATATCATAAATCAACATAACATGGCTTAAAATAATGGCAGGAGTCAGACCAGTTGCCTATAAGTACAGGCAAGCTTTCTTAAACTAACGTGGCTAAGGGGATGAACAGCATCAGCTAGTGGCCAGAAGGGCACTCGAACCCGACACCTCCAGATTTCAAGTCCGGCGCTCTAACCACTCGGCCACGCTGACTCCACGCTGTAGTCTTTCTTCCCTCGCTCAATTATTTCCTCGCTCGAGACTGGACCCGAAAAATACCATACTGAGCTCCAGAGACACTTACGTCATCAGAATGGAATTTCGGTGGAATCTTACACGTCTCTCGAACGGGGAAAGAATTGACTGCGTTGAGAAAGAGAACTGTTGAAATTGCAAACTTTTTTGATGAGCGATCAAATTTACATTAGATTACGAGCAGCCCATCTGTTTACTTAGTTCGCCGAGCGTGACGCAAAGGAAAGCGCGCAAGAAAAAAGGTCTTACGAAATTTGCCAACGAGAAAGCGTGCTTTTCAGCCATCGTGCGCGCAGCCTTTTCCTCACGCGCTTTCTTTTGCATCATTCGAAGAACAAAGAAAAATGAGAAACTGCTAGCAGTATACGTTTACAGCGTTTTCCACTGCTTTTCCCAGCGGTTACTTTTTCGGTCTTTCTCTCATTCCTCAAGCTGTGAGGCAACAGTTTATCTCCGCGCTTCCAAGCGGTTGTAATACCGTAGTCATTCATATCCACAAGAAGCCGCATTCCATTAAATCGAAGGAAAATTAAAATAGTTAATTTAAGTAGGAAAACGTCCAAGACATCATAATGACCCAAAAAGGACCAAGGATGGTCAAGATAAGGGAAGGATTCAGACGGATTGCGATAATTACGCTAAATTCTTCAAGATGGCGTGACGCAGCTCCGTCACAGATTCGTCCAGTCAATTGACAACAAGTTTCTATTGGATTCCAGGCAGTGCGCAACTTCCTCGGCGACTGAGTGGTTCAACCAAAGCTTCTCCAGCTTGCGATATCGATCAGGGCAAAGATAAAGGGGATTACCCCGCCTGTCAAGAAAGAAAATCGAGCGAAGCTGTTAACAACAGAACAAATTTTACGTAAAATCCTCTCTCAGATTTTCGTGTTTCCTGGGAAGGGTTAACATTAAACTTGGAGTTATTCTTTTCCCGGACGTTTCGCCTTGGAACAATCTGTAATTCTCTTACTATTAGACTGTTAGATCTGTTTTCTATAACAAGTTAAGGGAAGATCAGACAAGAAGAGTTGAGGAGAGTCGACCGTTCTTTTGACCTCTTTCTGGCTCCTGTGCGTTCTCACCGAATTTGAAACTGCTCATACAGTCGAACGACGCGAATTATCAACTCTCGCAAACTCTCAGCTCGTTTGGTCAAGTCTCCAGTGCACCTGTCACGCAACGCCTCTCTACATTACTGAGGAAAGGCGTTGCGTGGCAACTCACTAAACGGTTCGACCGTGCGCTGATGAAAGTCAATAAGAGTTACAGAAAACCGGCGCTCTTTCCCTCTCTCTTCGGCATCCATCTTTCTCTGCAGATGCGAGCAAGTGTCATCTTTATCAGTAAAAGAAGTGAAACTTAAAGTTGAAAATCATTGAACGTGCAAATGCATTATTATTACCTCAGTCCCTGGTCGGTCTCTCCATATGCATCTAGATACGGTGGAGGATAAAAGCATCCTTTGTTCTTGTTGGCCATCAGCAGGATCTGACATTCACGTACGCGTAGAAACACGCCCACCCCTGCCCCGCACTTCAGAGCATGCGCAGCACAGGCGCCGACTTTGTCTCCGTCAACTTCTGTTTGGCAGCAGTAGCTTTGAGAGCAGAGCATTTCACCGCAGATCAGACAAAGCGCTGGCGCACGGCTATCGTCACCATCAGAATTTGGGCACCTGAGTAAGAACAAAAATTGGCGTTCTGAAATTCTTCAACATACCTGGGTGGAGGGTACTTAAAGGTTTTTGTGAAGAACAGCTTCTTCCAAATCAAAACAATATGGCGGGTTAACAATTTGTGGATGTAGTGGCTGCCATCTTTGTAACTCATAATTTTAATTTCTCTTATAGGACTTTTATGTATATTATTTTTAGATAGTTTTAGTTGGGTATCCCCTATTAGCAGTGGGGATTCTCCACTGCTAGATGTATTTGACACGTTAATTAAGTCATTATTATTATTATTATTATTATTATTATTATTATTATTTCTTGGCAGACGACCTCCGTTCGAACGTGTCATTTTGCATTCAATTTGACAATTTGAGCCAAATAACCAAGTAAATGAAACAAATATCAAGAAAGCCCCATGTGAAGTTTCAATGGGTTTGCCCTTGAGATTGCAAGGATAAAGTTAGATAAACGATTACACTTGGGAGATCCGTAATTACTATATCACAGAAAATGCTGTGGATGGAGTGCTTGCCAGCAATTGTTCATAATCGATTGCGGTCCTTTAAAACGTGCTCAGTGACAAGAACTTTCTCAGCAAAAGTAAAACAGTCACACTAAAATGAAGCACTTAAAACAGAAAAAAAGCACAGTTAACGCAAATCTCAAAAAACTTACGTAAACATTGAAGCTTCGTTGATAAGCTCACTATAGTCCACAGGAATCTTCAGCAAATGATTGGGTTCAATAGAATAACTGAAAAGAAAACGTCCAGGTCATAAGTAACTGCTATAAGGTTACATAGCGCAGTGCAGTGGCTGTGCACGTACGATATAATTCTTGATACAATTCTTTACCGTCTACCGCTGACAACGCGATGACCAAATTTCACGTTTTACGTACAAAGCGAACTAAGCCGAACTTTTCTTGCTTCTACTTGGAATTAAAAGCTGATTACCTGGAGGAAGGTTCTGAGACCGACACAACAAAGAAGGTTAAGTTGATAAATTTCGTCGTTTTGTAGAATAATTTATGTGAAGTGTTAGGCGTTCGCGCGGCAGAGGACTGGACATCTTGGTTGACATCACAAAAAAACATTTGCAAGAGAATTGAGCGATACGAGTAGTAAAGTTGTAACCTGAGGTTTAATCTGCCAAAAATACACGTGTAAAACTTCAAAACTGGGTGGAAATTCTGTGTAGCATCAGTCACAAGATTCCTACTTTAAATAACAATTCATTTTCAAGTCAACTCTGCCAGCGGACATATAGAATCAGATGTGATTGTCTTTTCACTCACCCAAGAGATTCCACTCCAGCAGTAGCCAAGGTTTTCTTGACTTGTTCGTGACTGCACCATCTGTTAAAAGAGAGCAAAATAGGTAAATAAAACTAATAATCAGTTTACGACTGTAAGTCGAGTTTTGAGGCTAAAATGTAAGGGAACCATTTCGTTAGTTTTAATTTAAAAAAACCGCTCTTTCATTCATAAGCACGCTAACCTTTTGATGGTGGTAGAGATAGTGGACGAGCTTATACAAGCACTGTCGTGATTCCACTGCAATAAGCACGTCGTGTCTTTAGGCACTGAAAGGTATCGGCTCAAGATCTCCAGCTCCTCGGACAGTGACGGCCGGTTGGGATCTGGGTAAAAAGAGGTACATGAATTACATGGGGAAAATAGGCCCTCTAACTTTCATGAATTGCTTTACCAAACTTAGCATGTGCTTTGGACAACTCAAAGTACAATACAAAGTGTCAAAAAGTCAGTTCAAATACGACGGATTGGACAAACTGGGTAGTTCATTTGGGCCGGTACGTCCCTTCGATTTATGCAGCGTAAAACGACTATAGCATTATTACTCTCCCTAGATGGAATGCTAGTCTATCACCCATTAATTTAGCATTTTGCCATGTAATGTGGCTGTAGCAATTCACCAGTTCTCATTTATACACCTGTGTGGAGAGAGGCACTGTGAGAGTAAAGTGTCTTGCCCAAGAATAAAATGTAATGACCTCGGCCAGGGCTCGAACCCGGACCGCTCGATCTGGAGTCCAGCGCCCTTACCCGCCATTACATCACCACGCTTCCTGTGACAGCTACAGTTCATTCACTACAAGCCAACCCGACATTACGCTAATCCGTTCATCGTTTACCTTTCAAGAGTGCTGGTCCTGGAATTTCGGTCAGGAAATGGAAGAACAAAGCTGAACAGCGGAGGAATGGTAACAACTGTGTTTTCGCGTGACCAAGAAGCTCCAGTGGCATGGGGTGTGGAGTAGCGGACTGGGAACTAGAACAAAGTAGCCATAAAATACATGTAGGTCACATGATTTGAAAATAAGCATGTTTAAGGCAAAAGCTAGTCAATGCGGCATTGCAGTGTGGTGGCTTTGCAAGTTTGTGGAGAAAGTTTTGGGTGATAGTGCTGTTCTGGTGGAAATATAAGAAAGGGAAGCTCTTCAGCTGCTTCAACCAAGATGTGTCGCAAAATGTAAAATGATTGATCTTGGCATGGTACAGTATTGGAGACTCGTGGTTGGTTGGTTGGGACGAAGTTAACCAAGCAGCAAAATGGGGCTGCTGCTCCAGATCATATTCATATTCACCCTTTGGAAGGTCATCGGGAATTCCCAATGGGGTGGAGGCAAGCAAGCAGAAAAACATCTGTGAGGGGAAGTGACGTGTTCTGGAACAGGACAATAGACATAAGAACTCTGCCCTGGGGGGTACTCCCATATAAAAAGAACAGGGGTGCTTGTCATACCTTTTAGCTACCTCTTAAAGGGTGTTCAGCCTCAAAAGTTCCACACTGGGAACTTTTGTGGTACCGTTTAGGGTACTGTGGGTATATAGCTCTTTTAACAAAGTCTAAAAACTGAGGTTGGATTTAAGTTGTTAGCTCAAGCCTTTGTTCAAAAATGTATCTTTTACCTAACAAAATATAATAGTTAAAAAGACAGGTAGTAGCCGTGTAATATACATAGCTCATCTACAGTGTAGGAGACAAGGAGTTACCACTTTGAAGATTCCACCAGCTAATAGCTTTGACCCAGAAATCTTGAACATTATTACACCCAACTAGCTAATTTGTGAGGAGTTTCTAATAAATTACAATAATTACATGACGAAGAGAGAAGGATGCTGATGGTGTTTCCTAAACTTTGTAGATCTACCACAAGCAGCATAAGTAATAGGATTATTTTAATCTCACAGACAATGGTGCAACAGATTCACTGAAAGAACAAGAGCAAAAGTGGACAGATCTTGGAATACAGCAGCTACAGGAATCCCCACAACACTCTGGAAACTAGATTGGAAAATCAACACTCAGGGAACTAGATTGTAAAATGACTTGTACACATGTAAACTGCTGACTTGTACACATGCAAACCATATTTCAAGAATGGTGTGCGCAAGTCCTTAATCTTTCCAAGTTGTTTAGTTTTCCATGTTGTCCAAAGTTTTTAGTTAAATTTGTGATTGCTCAGCCCCCAGGAGGGGGTACTCTAGAAAGTTCTATATGAGGAGGCTCCCCTTCGAGGTCCAACCCTTTATATATGTATGTATGTTTACGTAATTGGCCACTCCCCATCAGGGCTTTTCAGGACCAATGTAAACAAACAATGATAAATAAATATTCAAATAAACATAACTAGGTTAAGAATCCCAATTGGCGGGAGGCAGACCAGTTGGTTAGTTACAAGCGTAGTCGAGAAGTTGAACTCGGGGCTACTGAGAACAACATCACTAGCGGTCAGAACAGGATTTGAACCCGGGACCTACGGATTTCACCTCTGGCGCTCTAACCACTCGGCTACGCTGCCTCCAAATCATATTTCAAGAATAGCATTTGCAAGTTCTTAATCTTTCCAAGTTGTTTAGTTTTCCCTTTACCCTTTTGTATACCGTTTTGACAGAGAAGGTACCCCCTTTCGTATACCTTTAATTGAAGATAGGTACCCCTTTAACATACTTCATAACGGGCTTGTATTATGAATAAATCACCAAAAAAGTAAGTCTTCTTGTCATGTTCATGTAGTGCCTAATAAATGAAATCGTACAGCCATAGGGTGTGCCTGTTCGAAATATTTTAATTGAAGGCTCTTAAATAACTAAATGGATTTCCACACCCTTTCATATACCTCAACTTATGAAATCCTTACCCTTCTATATACCTGGAGCCTGAAAAAGGTAACCCTTATAGGCCGATGCAATTACTGGTTTCTTGCCTTTGTTCAGCAAAAGTAACTTAGTTTGTTTCGTTCCCTTTCTTGGCAACAAATGTCCTCATTAGAGACCCTTCCACCCCCGTTGGGAATTCCTACAAGTCCTTGTCTTGTGTCGTACAAGTGAGGATGACCACATATTATGTTCTGGATGTCATTTCATTCATTACGAGCCAGTTTATAACAATTGAAACTGCTTCAATCATTTTCCGAGATTTTAAAGGAAACTGAGAAACATTAGGCTCAAAAAATATTTCCTTTATTCAAGTTTTTACATGTTTGTACAAATTTTGTAAAGTGCAATGAAAGAACGTAAACAAAAGAATGTAAACAACTTTCTTACAACTACAGAAGACTATAAAAACATACAAAACAATGCAATGAAATTATTTACATAGATCTCTAATGACTAATAACTAATTTAGTAATTTTCAATTTTTTTATCTTGAAACTATAGCTAACAGTCAGTGACTATTTGATATAAATAAACAAAAGAAAACGAAAGGTTAAGGGAAAAAATAGAATGTATAAAATTACTTCACTCATGAACTAATCTGTAATCTTTTAACTTTAGATATTACTTTATGCCTGTACATTGAACTGTAACAAAATAAGTTTGATGTCAACATAAAACATGATTTGGTGTCAGTTTAAATAGTATTCTAACAATACTAGAATACTAGAACCCAACTCATGGAGTACAGATTGTCAAAAGAATGAACTTTATAATACAAAATCTAAAAGCAGCCTTGGCAGACAAAGTTGGGTTTCTAGTGAGAGATGCGGCAAAAACTTCTCCGTTGAACAAGTGCTAGTCCTTTCCACAACTAGAATGAGAATGTAGTTTTTTTTTTTCATTTTAAAGCTACTAAGGACCTGTCCTTGCCATGACAGCATGTTAACCTTCAGAATATTCTCAGTGAGCGTTTTCACTATCCCATGATTTGATAATAAAAATCAGAAACTTAATGTGACTGACTACTCAAACTGGGACCACCTAGAATAAAACTAACAAATCAAAACGTACACTATGAACAATGGACTGGTAGCTTTTTCATGATGGTAACTAGTTAGGGTCTGTTTGAAATGAACACATAAATGCCATTGACTCCTNGATTGCAAGGATAAAGTTAGATAAACGATTACACTTGGGAGATCCGTAATTACTATATCACAGAAAATGCTGTGGATGGAGTGCTTGCCAGCAATTGTTCATAATCGATTGCGGTCCTTTAAAACGTGCTCAGTGACAAGAACTTTCTCAGCAAAAGTAAAACAGTCACACTAAAATGAAGCACTTAAAACAGAAAAAAAGCACAGTTAACGCAAATCTCAAAAAACTTACGTAAACATTGAAGCTTCGTTGATAAGCTCACTATAGTCCACAGGAATCTTCAGCAAATGATTGGGTTCAATAGAATAACTGAAAAGAAAACGTCCAGGTCATAAGTAACTGCTATAAGGTTACATAGCGCAGTGCAGTGGCTGTGCACGTACGATATAATTCTTGATACAATTCTTTACCGTCTACCGCTGACAACGCGATGACCAAATTTCACGTTTTACGTACAAAGCGAACTAAGCCGAACTTTTCTTGCTTCTACTTGGAATTAAAAGCTGATTACCTGGAGGAAGGTTCTGAGACCGACACAACAAAGAAGGTTAAGTTGATAAATTTCGTCGTTTTGTAGAATAATTTATGTGAAGTGTTAGGCGTTCGCGCGGCAGAGGACTGGACATCTTGGTTGACATCACAAAAAAACATTTGCAAGAGAATTGAGCGATACGAGTAGTAAAGTTGTAACCTGAGGTTTAATCTGCCAAAAATACACGTGTAAAACTTCAAAACTGGGTGGAAATTCTGTGTAGCATCAGTCACAAGATTCCTACTTTAAATAACAATTCATTTTCAAGTCAACTCTGCCAGCGGACATATAGAATCAGATGCGATTGTCTTTTCACTCACCCAAGAGATTCCACTCCTGCAGTAGCCAAAGTTTTCTTGACTTGTTCGTGACTGCACCATCTGTTAAAAGAGAGCAAAATAGGTAAATAAAACTAATAATCAGTTTACGACTGTAAGTCGAGTTTTGAGGCTAAAATGTAAGGGAACCATTTCGTTAGTTTTAATTTAAAAAAACCGCTCTTTCATTCATAAGCACGCTAACCTTTTGATGGTGGTAGAGATAGTGGACGAGCTTATACAAGCACTGTCGTGATTCCACTGCAATAAGCACGTCGTGTCTTTAGGCACTGAAAGGTATCGGCTCAAGATCTCCAGCTCCTCGGACAGTGACGGCCGGTTGGGATCTGGGTAAAAAGAGGTACATGAATTACATGGGGAAAATAGGCCCTCTAACTTTCATGAATTGCTTTACCAAACTTAGCATGTGCTTTGGACAACTCAAAGTACAATACAAAGTGTCAAAAAGTCAGTTCAAATACGACGGATTGGACAAACTGGGTAGTTCATTTGGGCCGGTACGTCCCTTCGATTTATGCAGCGTAAAACGACTATAGCATTATTACTCTCCCTAGATGGAATGCTAGTCTATCACCCATTAATTTAGCATTTTGCCATGTAATGTGGCTGTAGCAATTCACCAGTTCTCATTTATACACCTGTGTGGAGAGAGGCACTGTGAGAGTAAAGTGTCTTGCCCAAGAATAAAATGTAATGACCTCGGCCAGGGCTCGAACCCGGACCGCTCGATCTGGAGTCCAGCGCCCTTACCCGCCATTACATCACCACGCTTCCTGTGACAGCTACAGTTCATTCACTACAAGCCAACCCGACATTACGCTAATCCGTTCATCGTTTACCTTTCAAGAGTGCTGGTCCTGGAATTTCGGTCAGGAAATGGAAGAACAAAGCTGAACAGCGGAGGAATGGTAACAACTGTGTTTTCGCGTGACCAAGAAGCTCCAGTGGCATGGGGTGTGGAGTAGCGGACTGGGAACTAGAACAAAGTAGCCATAAAATACATGTAGGTCACATGATTTGAAAATAAGCATGTTTAAGGCAAAAAAACTCTCTAGATGTTTCCTTCCACTTTGTACAAGGTCTGTTATGATGCAGATATGGGCAGGGTATTTTCTCTATGATTGTGTACACTGTTTACTTTCTGATTTGAAAACTGATCATTTCTCTCAAGAAACGGCGGTATGGTCTTGCAGGCCTTGAAGATTTGAGGGTAGCAACATCAACTACAAGGGAGCAAATTTAGCAGACAGCCAGATCTGATTCTCACTCACCCGGCCCAGTGCCTCAGTTTACCCCACAGGGCAGCCAAATTAGCAGTCTCGTTTTGACGAGGCTCTTCCTGGTCCATTGATTCATCTTCGTTTTCAGCACCTACCAAATAATGAGCTGTGAAGTGAGACAAATTACTAGCAGCACTTGAGTCGTTTGTCGCGTCATGCGGTTATAACATTTTGATGGTTCTCTACAGTTTGTATTCCACGTTCGCTCAGCCTGACTGGCTAAAAAGAAAAGGCTTCGTGGTCTCAAGCCATTAGCCATGGGGCGGGGTCCTAAATATCACACATCCCGTTAAATTTTGGCCAAAATATTCTGTATCCCGTTTATTCCAGTTGCAAAAATTAATGATTTTCCCACTCCATATCCCGTTTTATCTTATCTTAAAATCCCACATCCCATTAATTTTTCCCCCAAATATCCTGAGTCCGGTCAATTATTTACCTACATACCCCGTATCCCTAAGTTCCCTACTAGGACCACAGTATAAAATTAGATGAATGCCGTAATTAATAGATTACTCATCTTAACGGTGTCATCATTTCTTTTCAAGGAATTGAAAACCGCGTTTTGTTTCACGCACGTATACTGTGCAGGTTTTTTAGAGAGTGACGAAGCCGTGTATTATACTGCGAAAATCTGCTCAATCGAAACTAAAACTAAGGAGAACAAGGAGAAATTAAATCGCAAAACATCTCCGCCGATTAAGGTCAGATTTCCAAACCACCGTCCCGGTTATGATTGCCTTCCTACACATAGCTTTGACTTCTTCGTGGAACAAACTGATGAATGACATCAGAAAGTGCTCAACTCTTACTTGGCAGATCAGGGGAAGTACTGAGAAGAATTTGAACAACACGCGCCATCAATGTCAGCTGAAACACACTCTGATCAATTGTAACTGGAGAGTTTAGACCCACAATGCTCTTCAAGACAGGTGACGCGCCCCCATCACCAGACTCCTGATGTAACATGCTCGGTAGCGCCAGGCGGAGCTTTACCTGGAAACAAATTAGAATTGACAATAAATGAACTGGAATAGATCGGATATTTGATCGTGTCATTAAGTCAAGCGTTTCTAAAGATTTCAAAGAACAAGTGCTATGAAGAAAAACTTGGCAAACCAAAGAGATGAAAATATAGAAATTTGTAGCTCGAAAAGGGCTGGGTTCAAATTTTGATTGTAAAGAAAGCGATGTTGTAAGCCATGAAGTAAGAATCGACAGTCCTTCCACAGGTCACTATGAACAGAAAGCGAGCTCTGAAGTAGACAAATCAAACACTGAAAGTTTTATACAGACCATGTAAAACACGGTACAATTACAGTACAATGCACAGTACAATCGGAACGTCTTATCTCACGGAACAAAAACATTACTTTCCCCCCACCCCTTCCCCTCAGCTTCGTAAAGAGCGAGCTATCCCTGAGGGGGAAGAAGAGCTTCAGTACCGGTGAATATACAATGTTCTAGTCGATAAAGAACGAAGTTTACTAACCATTAAACTGAACAAATCCAATTCCAGGAGGGAGGGACCCTCATCACCTGGAACCGCGTCAGGAGTTAGGACTGGAACCAAGAATTGAAAAGTTAGCATACTAATACATCGGCCACTTATGTCCTGGAATGAACTTAAGTATTGTTTAATTAGAACTTCATATTTAGGAGGGTTATTTGACATTTTCGTGTTACTTCATATTTGACAGAACTGTGTGTGTTTTGGTGACTTTTTACCAATGAGGACACTTGTCATAAGGAATTTGAATCTCATTAGTGTTCAATCCTGGACTTATCTGACATCGGGAAGACAAACAATACAGTCTTGAAGATTATAGAACGTTTCCACTTACGTGAACAGCAGCCATGAAACAAAAGGAAGTTTTTAAGAACGGAGTTCAACCCCGAGAGGACTGGTTTGGAATGACGCCGTTTCATTGTTTTGAGACGCCAATATGGCTGCCGTGAAATCATGTGAAAACACTCTATGTTGACATTTTCTCTTCTTAAAAAGGTTGGTATTAACTGTTACAGTAAGTGCAATAAGTTTTATTAGTATAAAGTAAGGACATTTCATGTTACTGCCCATTATCTTGTCAGGTTTTCTAATCATAGCCTTATCCATATTTTAAGGCAAACACTGGCCGGCTTGTTTCCCCACGAAGACTTGCATTCGACGTGACAATTCCTGCATTCCATCAAAGAAGCATGGATAAAAGAATATTCATCTGTAATCTGCTTGATCTTTCAAATGTGCTTGAGCAACTGACACGTAATCACACATAAGGCCCTGGGGCGGATACAGCTTTTTAGAGACGGGGTCCCCCGTAGGGTTTCCGGGAGCGTCCTCCCCTAGAAAAGTTTTAAAATCGAGACTTTCCGACATTCTGACTCCAAGTCAGCGCGCTATAAAGTCTCATATATTTTAATTTAGAACCCCCCCCCCCCCCCCCCCCCCCCCCCCCNCCCCCCCCGCCCCAGATCCGCCCAAGAGGCTTATTCACCGTGTACTCATCCGTGAGAAGAAAGGCTTGTGTTTATTAGTTTTTTTCTCTCCACAGCATAACGCAGTAACGCTGGCTAAAGCTTGCACCCAGGACCTGCCGATTCTGGGTCCCACCTGCCGCGTTAACCAGTGGGGCTGGGCAAGGAAATGCGCGTCGACCTCGAAATAAGATTACAAGTTGTGATTTGATTGGTGAACTTACCGGACAGCAATCGAAGACAGTGGCGTTGAACGACTTTGCTGGGAGAGATCCCCGACACAACTGCAGCAAGACGCGTTAAGGCCGCCATACACTGAGACTGCAAAAATAAAACAATCATACTGACATTTATGTGACTGCAATGGTTGGATGAAATATCTGTTCTGGAGGAATGTTACCTGGCGAGTTGTAAGTCCTGAAAAAAGAGGTTGGCAATTTGTTCTTAGAGCACTCTCTGGCAACAGAAAAGAAAGCAAATTAGTCCACATGAAATGTACCGCATACCAAAATCAAACGTGCACAATCAGCAAATGCAAACATGTCAATAAGCGAGCAAAACGCAGTCAGTACAAATGAAATGAAGATGTGAAGATGTTTCATTTGTATTTCCGCAGTTCACATTTTCAATCTATGCCAAAAACGAAAGAACCTATGCCAGGAACGAAAGTTTCGTTCCTTTCACGGGTCGAGATGAACTCGATAACTTGGTCTGCTCTCGATGTATGGGTCTTAATAGCTCAGCTGGTTGAGCACTGCTGCGCTAAAGCACAGCGCATGGGTTCAATATCCGTTGAGGCCCCGAAATCCTTTTTCGTGCTTCATTGGCAATTGCTTAAATTGCGATTACAACTGCGACGGTCACGTCTTCATTTCACTTTCATTTCCGCAGTTAACATCGTTCAATCTAAGCAGTCAATACCACTCCAAAACTGGTTCAATAGGAACGCAAGACGTATTCAGCGCGAACGCAAAACGAGTTCAATACGAACGCAGAACGCGTACGTACCTCCACTTTGTATGGTGTAAGTGCACGCTTCCAACACCAGCAGAGGAACACGTCTGTCATCTTCATTAGGGTCAACACCCAAACCAACCTGACAGGAAAATTCAGTGAGCTCTTTTCTTTAGCCATTAAGAGTGTAGTTGGTAGCATGTAAAATTTACTGAAGGAAATTTAGGTGTCTTATTTCAAAACTCTTCCAGAAGTCTCTGCAGAGTACTCCTCCCCCCCTCTCTCTTTTTTTTTGGTTCTCGCTCCATTTTCCGCGCAGACAAAGCACCGAAAATCCCGTTCCTCGGTCTTTCGTTGCTTCCAAACCCCACGGAAACGCTTGCTACAAAGGCTACCACTCACCGTAAAACAAGACTGCGAGAAAACCTTCATCATTTCCTTCAGATCGTCAGAAAACTTCGTTCTGGACAAATGTAATAACAGTTGTATGTTAGTGAATAAGGGAACTATCTACAAAAAGAAGACAACTTAAGTTCACAACTTACCCAGTTTTCAGAAGATTTTGAAATACTGCTTGGAACCTCTCGGGAACTGGAGATAAGACTGCATGGAACATAATCATAATACAATAAGTTGGAAGAAAGTCAATTAAAACCAAGATTTGAGAAACGATTATTTGTGTACCTGGCCTTCGATATTTATTTCAAAATCCTTAACAGAAGCACGCGATATTTTTTCGCTCAGGTCAGAGGAAATTCGATTTCAAGATCTCAGCAGTGTTACATGCAAACACGAAAAGGGTTTCAAGAATGAATGTTTTTTTTTTCTCCTAGATAACAGAAAGTCTTAAAATTGTACGAAAGAAAGTAAAGGGTAACAAATTAAAGGGTAAGATTTTTTAGCCCTAGGTCACGCATGATTCGTTTTGAAAAATGCAAGCGTGACGACTTGTGTTCGTAGTTCGTAATCAGTCTCTCCTGTCCCGTCCTTGTTATTCTTTGGTTTATTCACAAGTGAATGTATGAAACCCTATATATTTGAACTGCGGGTGAAAGATTTCAGAGACAGGAGAGATTATCACGTTTTTTCTTTCCTTCTTTTTTCTTTCCCCGCGAACTGCCTGCTTGCTGGCTAAAATTTACCTTTCTTTCCTTTCTTTTCATCTTCATCGGATAACAAACTGAGATTTGACGACACCAAATCCTGTACACTGCTTAAAAATTCTGGACCTGTAACTTCCTCGACACTGCAGTGAAATTAAAAAATGCACACTTTATGGACAAATAGAGAGGGTGACGTAACCCCGAAAAAAACGTCTTTTTTCTGATTGTATTATAAATACATTTTTCTTATATTTTTACTTTAATGTTAATTTTACATTGTAAAGCGCTTTAGCATATTTTATAATTGCAGCACTATATAAATCCAATCTTATTTTCATTATTATTAAAGAAGAAGTTGTGGCATACAGGGGAACTCAGTCATTCTGACGCTTAGTTTTCATTCGACCATGAAAGCGAAAAACAGCTGACAGACAACGAGCGCAATTTTCTTCGACGGTTGCTGATAAAATTTGGCTGGGAATAATCCACTTACAAATTAGCAAGGTACACAATATTTTTTGGGATGGTACTTGTTGGTTAAATGAGACTTTGAAGCTCGTACATTTTGCTAAAACTTTGACTCTGCCCCATCTCCCCCCATCCAGAGGGAGGTAGAAATACTCCTAGTCGCTACAGACTCGCATGCAGACTTAACCTTTTTTTTTTTGACTCTGCAAAATGCCGAGAATTGATAGAAATTTGGTTTATACCATTCCTCTCATATCAAAATTTCTTTAGAGTGACAATTCAATCCTTACCCCTCTCCCCGTCCGCTAAACAGTGCAGGTAATACAGGCAGAACACTGTTGCTGATGCACCCACACAGTGGACACAGGTACTCTCGTCTAGTGACATCCACACTAAAATGCTGGCCAAGACGCAAAGCTCTTCGTTCCTTCACTACAACAGACGTGTAAAATCCCTGCCAGCAGTCACTGTGCATCATGTGACCACAGCTGCTGACATGAACGCCCCAGTACTGGTCCCCTGGGGTGTACAGCGGGTCCAGCTCGTCACCGTTGTCGAACATCTTCCCGCGGGAACGAGACAACACGGTCGAGCGCTGGACGAAAGAGGCCATAACGATGGCTCGCCCATCACTGTTGACCTGCCAACAGAAAATTAAAAAATTCATCTCAACATTTGTATCACGGCAGCCATATTGAATTTCCCAAGCAATCAATTTTCTTTTTTCCTTTCGTTGCGAAGAATTATTCCTTTCCTTGGTAACAGTCATTGCCGCCGTGACAACACAGGTATCCAAAGCTCACTGCGTGACAGTCTTATGTAATATTGTCCAACGACGTAAANAAAAAAAAAAAAAGCAGGGGACAAATTTGGAGAATACAGTTGAACCCCGCTATTTCGAACTCACAGGGGAAACGAAAAATAGTTCCAAACAGCCGATACTAAATGACTGAAGGGAAAATCCGAGGGGAATGGTTTTGAGTTCGAAATGACGGGGGTCCAACTGTATCAGCAGTCACTCATGAAGCCATCAAGTAGCGCGATGACCCAGCAACAAAGAAGTCTTGTTTTGATTCTCAGTCCAAGTGAACAAGTTACCTTAATAATCCAGTCGAGCTGCGCAGAGTGTTCCTCGATCACTTCACTACTTTGAAGGCTCTCCAGTGACGCTAGAAGAGACTGAGGATGATCTACAAACACCGAACATGACAAAACATTGTCAGAAACACCCACATTTGACAATGAACCAAACATTGAAAACTTATTTGAAGTTCGATAAAAGGAAAATAACCCCTCAGCGAATTTGGAAAATCGTTTCGAGCGCTAAACCTTCCTAGGGACAAAACCAACATATTGAAAACCACTGCTACGTTTAGTAGGACGGCGCAAAACTGCAAAATTAACCCTAACAGTCTTTGTGATTGCCAATGGTCAGAAGTGATAAGGTCAGAGCTGCGCATGCGTCAGGATGATACGGCGGCGCCAAATTCAAACCGCGGCGTTCGGTTTGACTCGGAGAGTCGGGTTACAGGGAGAGTTACATAAAATCCTAAATACCTTGTTTTGAAGTTGCCATGGAAATAAAGTTAAACGCATCAGTCTTTTGATTCATCCTGTGTCTTTTTTCTTCGTGAAGAGCAAGACAAATCACATGAAGAACCTACAGAGGAGAAACAAAAAATGGTATATTCACCATGTTCTTTTGATCCTTACGTAAATCAGTCTAAAATATAAAAAAAAATCTTAAGTAACCCTCGGCTAGTGTATAGCTAAAGGCTCGTGGGGCCGAACAATAAGCCACATTCGTATTCTAAGGGTTGGACTGGAACTAGCTTGCAAGTGAGGCTAATGCGGGGAGTCGTTTCAAATGTAAATGACATTAATCTCTTTTTAATGATATTCCCCCGCACGAGCCTCAATTGCAAGCTAGTTCCAGTCCACTACCGAGAATACGAAGTTAAAAATTCAAATCAAACATAACAAGGTTAAAACCTCAAACTGGCCGGTGGCAAACTAGTTGGCTATTTACAAACGTAGCCGAGGAATCGAACTCGGGACCGACTACCGAGAAAAAAAACAACAGATAGTGGTCAGAGCGGGACTTGAACCCGCGAACTCCGGGTTTCAAGTCCGGCGCCCTACCCACACTGCCACGCTGCCTCCAGTCAACACTAGTAATCAATGATAAGGAACATTCATAATCAGCTACTTACCTGTTGTACCAGGAGATCTGTAACAGCTCTGGGTTGTGCAGTGGTTGCTCTTCTAATCAGAGAGTTCATGAGTCCAACAAGCGTTTTACAGCACAACACATTCAACACCTTGCTGAACGGTGTACAGAACTCGGGGGGGATGGGTGGTGGACCGCCTGAAACACGCGCAATGCACAGTCACAAAAAATTTGAACTAATCCACTACAACGTAGCCTGCGAACGCAGACGTATTTCCCGCTGTCGCTTGTCTCCGCCGAAAATAACGTCTGCGAACCCGAGCCAGGAAACGATTTCTGTGACGTAATGACTTTTGTTTCTCCTTGGCCTATTAGATTCCTTGATAGAATAAAACTCGAGTACTCCTCGCAGTAAATACCTCGCGCAGTAGTTCTGGGGCTACTTGAGCTAAACTGTGATTGGCTTAAAATTCCTACGTCTTACTACAAATATACAAGTTGCTATACCTTTAACTTCGTTTTCCTTTTTCACCCTCTTTCTTTGCTGTTCCTCAGCCTAATGGAGAAAAATGTGTGATGTCTAAATTTAACCATAGTTAATAGAGGAGTGGTTATAAAACCTGGCAAAGTTCTTTGTTGTATGTTTTTGCTTGCTATTTTGGGAGTTGAGCCTGCAAAAAACCTGGCAAAATACAAAAGGTGGTTATGTGTGCTTATACAACTAACGAATAGAAAAATTGCGATTATGTAATTCATGCATAGTCTATGAACATAAAACAAAAGATGTGCAGGGTCAAGGACATTCCAAAATAAATCTTAACCTGTTTGTTTGCTTACGAAAAAACCTCGCAGAACTTTGTACGATCAGCTCAAGATTCCTTTGACATAACTAGAACCATTTACTATCATTTGCTGTCACAGACAGACAACCGAATGTACCTTAGACTGTTCAATCCGCGTGTAGTGATAGAAAAATGGATTGTAGTCCTTGAGATATTCTTCTTTCAGTTCATACAATCCTCGTCCTGTAACTCCAGGTTTCCTGCAATAAAATAACAACAGTCCGAATCGAATTGGAGCATAGCATTCTTTTCGGCGCAGTCTGATTGGGTACTTCAACTCGGTATGATCCCTGCCAATCGTCTGTGAACACAGACGTATTTGCAGCTGTCGCTTTTCTCCGGAGACAAGCGACAGCCTGAAATACGTCTCCGTTTGCAAGCTATGCCAACAGTAATCTTTTTTATCCTGCTTACTGAAGGGTTTGATAATTAACACACCTTTTCTTGATCTGGAACGGCGATGGTTAGCATCAGAGGATATTTCAACTTTCAAACTATTTTATATGGTACAGTGGATATCACGCCCGGCTAGTATGCGGGGAGACACTGGTTCGAATCCTTCTCGGGACACGAAGTTTTCTTTCATTTCAGAGAAGTGTGTCGGAAGCCGCTTGTAATTTTTTAACGACTTTCTATTATAAGTATTTCATGCCAGGAAAAACCGCCCTGAACATTAACTGTAAAACATGTAGACAAGTCGTGCCTTACTTAAAGATTGACACAGATTCAATGATTCCATCCACGCCTTCCTCGTCCTCTAACTCGTTGTCCAGCAGTGGAAGAGCCTTGATAAGTTCGCTATGGGTCATGGGACGCAGGCATAACTTGTGGATAATCTCACGTCTCATGAAGTCATCCGCTGACACACGGCCAACACCAGGCATGTACCGCTCACCTGTTGACAAAAGGGAAATATTTTAACTGTTGGGATTTCTTAAATATACCTGGTGAAGCGCAAGATAAGGTTTAGTTCACACAGCGACGACATGACGACATCAGAAGGACGTTATGCTGTTATGTTTGCAGTGTGAACATACTGACATAATGACATAACAGCATAAACATAACGACATGAGGGAAAAACTGATCTTTTCCTTGTCTTCATGTCGATGTTCACATTACTGACGTAAGCGGTTATGTCGTCATGTCATCGCCAGTGCGAACTAGGAGTAACTGCTNCAATAAAGATGAAGTGTCATCAGTTAGCATCTCTCTCAAACACGTTAATATAGTTCACTGTCACAACACTATTTGTGACACACACGTAGATCAGATTTCTAAAGCAGCTTTTCACTCAACAAAAAAAAATGCGCAATTTTCGGAACGGGAGCGAATGGTTGGACATTTTTTGGGTCAGATTCCAAAAAATCCAAAACCTGTCGAATTTCCTAGAGCAAACCATTCAACCGAGAATTGTGAAAATTCTGGGAGCAAAATTAATGCATCAATAACAACGACAAAAAACACCCTTTGATAGAAAAATTACAATTTAGTTTACTTATTTTAAACTTTGTGCACATTACATAATATTTTGATACAATAATTAACTGACTTACTCAGGATAACCACAAGTTAACTTTCGGGAAGGTGAGTTTTCTACGCGAGGTTGTCCTCGTTTCCGGAACGTTTGGAAACATTTTAACATCCAATACAGTTCAAACCGGGATGTTCAGTCGAATGAAAAGCGCCAAGCAGTCAGGTGAAAAGAAATATTTCGCGTGAAATTAAACATTAATTACCTGGTCATATTTTGTATCGTCAAAGTCGTGTCTAAACAAAGAAAAGAAATGTTAGAAAATTTATCTAAGAATGACGAAAGCATCTTAAGACTGTTCAACTCTCAGCAAAAGACGTAAATCAAGGCAGATTTAAGATGTGAATTCTTCAAGCAAATTGTTTGCTTAAAAACGAGTCGATTAATCAAATAGTATCGGGGTGCACTGAATTAGTACAATTAGATATTTACGACCTTAGTTTCGGATTGAGAGGACAAACCAAAACACTTAAGACAGTGTTTTCTCCAAATTTCTTACACCTCAAAGTTCGTCAGATACCTCGCTGCCCGTCGTATTTTCAATTCTTCTCCTTTTCTGGAAATGTGATGAAACGCTATCTCGATCTCGTCTTACATAGATTACACGATAGGAAGTGAGAACTAAATACATGTACCGCCTTATGCGGCATCATTTTAAAGGGATTAAAGCTATCCTGTATAAATACGACCGCGCTCCTACGTAATTCACGAATTTCCATCGCAAATTATTTCTTTGTTTGCTGCTTTTTTTTCTTGACGATAAAAAGATTATAAGAACAGCAACTAAACGCACCTGGACCAATCCACCAGATCAAACTTGTCCAGCATGGCTAGCATGAAGTAATCACTCTCCAAAAAGGACGCCACAACCTTCAGCGGAAACAAGACAACAAAATTTAGCCGAGTCACTCCGAAGACTGACCGCGCTCGACGCGTCAACTTTCCAAGGTCACCACCACAGTTAAGCTGCATAAACACTGTATCAACTTACAATAGTCGATACAATAACTTCATGGTAAGTGATAATCAGCATTGTAATTATTCAGATATGCAATTTACCTGTAACATCATTACATCCTTGTCAAACATATCTGCCCGACATCTCACATTCAAATAATTAAACACCTGAAAAAAAAAACACAAAGCATAATAACGAGATAAATAAATACTGCAAAGTCTATATAACTAGTTTTAGGCCCTGCTAAGGGGCGCAGGGTGTGTCTTGCGTTATTACAAATTTTGAGTTGCGATTTCTAGTGAACTCACCTTTTCATAGGTTGATTCAGTCGAACCAGAAGCATATCAGTGATATGCTTCTGGTCGAACATAACGCGACAGATAACTTTGTTGACACCAAAGTGGTATTATTTCAATTTGAACGCGGAAAAAAGAGAACCAAAACTCCAACAGATCTTGACAACTTGCCCGAACAAATTTGAATCGACAGTTGCATAGTTGCTACGACCAAACTGCAAATCAACATTGGAACACTGCACTGCAATATTGCCGAGTCCCCGTCAAAAGAATATCCAGTTTGAGTGTAATAGAGCCCTGCCATACTACTACGGAGAAATTTGAAAACGCAGCTTTACTTCTACGGTTAGGCCTACCGTCCACACTAATCCGTCAACAAAACGGAGATTTTCGAAAACGCTCAGCAAACCGGAAGAATTTGAAAACGCCGGCTTTGCGTTTTAGCGTGGACGGAAAATATACATGTACATGTACGTACCTGATTAATCACAGAGTAACCATTCCTTCGCCACATTCCAGCTTGAACTTGTGCGACCATGACCAGGGTACGAAGCGGGTACTCCATTAAGAACAGCTTCAGTCGGTCATCCTACAAAACGCGTATATAATGCCATCAATAAATATCGAAAAAAATGAAGTAGGACACACACACAAAACATGGTTTCAAAGTTCTTTGTTCAGTACTAGACTGCCAGAAGACGAAGCCCACTGACAGAACCAACTATTAGTGTAACTCTCGCATAGTTATGTCAGGGCAGACAAGGATATGACTGTGGGGGAAAGTATGAGACGAACCCTCACAAAACTAAAAAGCCTGCAGAGGGAGGCTTCTTCAATCCCAAAAGGAAAACACCTTTTATTTTAACGGCTTCTTGCCTTAATTATGCCATAATTTAAACGGAGTTGGGGAAAATCGAGGTTGCCTTGGAGCTTGCTCCCAAGCTAAAATCAAGGATAAAAAAATGACAGAAAATACATGAAGGATAAATGGAGACAAGACTTCCTTCTTAGTCATGTGAAGGACTTGACAGGTTGCAATGTTAAGTACAGCATGGCCGTACAGCGTAATTCAAACAACTAAAACTAAAATACTCAATTTTACCTGAGTTTCAAACCCAAACAGATCCCAAAAGGACAGTTGAAACTTGTCACAGAACAGCAGAAGACCTGAAAGACGGCATGTTAAACACAGTTCGTCACTTGACCGCAAGAAAACTCTTAGATTTATTATAACGTTTTACGTAAGATAATAATCATATGGATAACAAAATTCTTGACTGTGATTGGTTCTTACCCATGGGTTATTTATTTGACAGTAATCAGTATTTGACAGTGGATTGAGCAACATTTAGGCAAAGTAATGGACATGGCTCACGGATAGTGATCTGAACTCTGGGGATGGTGGAAAGCATAAAAGCATAGCGTTAAATATTGATAGATGTCTCCTTTTGAAAACCGTTAAATATGAAGAAGTTTACTTGAGGCTGATTGTATGGCCGCGATAGCCGGGGGAAGGGTGGTGGAGGCTATAAACGGCATTTTACAGTCCTTTTTGAAGAAATGTTATTCATCCTTATTCAATCTCTTATTTGGGTACTAATTTTCCAAATTTGGGATGCTAACAATGACGTCATCAAAGACACGTCACATAGTCCGTACCTGCGAGGAATCTTGAGACCGGTAAATGAACAGAAATGGGTGAAGACGAAACATCATACTTAAACAACCTCAAAGAACGTCCAGACACTGAAAACAGAAACACAAGAGCTCTTCAAAAAACAAAAGAAAATAATCACTATCTACGAAACACAAAGCTGAAAAACATATTTCACAGAATTTCAACCTAACAATCTACACATGGAATCAGAATATCCCATACAGAGCCCGTCACAGGTAACTTTGCATTTTGTCTGCACAGGCTGCAGTTATTGCATTTCGTAAACATTGGTTCATCGGATAGTCTGTGTCCTTTGTGACCGGCTAAATTGATTGGTTTGGTTCTGGTTTGGTTCTGGTTTTACGAAACGATAATATCACGGTGTTTGAATCGATCAAAACAAATATCCAGTCCAAATGATGTATACAGCCTCACTGAAAATCAGTCCAAGATACTACGCGAATCTCTCAGTGCAAAGCAGCTTCATCAGAATGTCGATTCGAATCGAATCGAGAGAGAAAAGACTCTTGAGCGGGATAACAGAGCCTAACGTGAACCCTCACTACTGAAAACTTGTCAAAAGATATGAAATTTCTGACATGAGCTCAGAAGCTCACCTTGCAAGACTTTCATAACAACTTCCTCCTGCTTCTTCCTCGCTTCAAGAAGTGTTTTGATAGATTCAAGGATGGCTGTCCTGAAGATCAGCACCTGTAGTACAAGACATAAGCATTGTTATTCGCATTAACGCTAACATAACCTTTATTTAATCACGGTAAAATCATCAGGAAGGCTTAGCCAGAACAAAAATAATTATTCACTCTTTTAAGAGATTTGTCTAACCTCACAGTTGTATTTATACTACAGTGTAGTTATACAATATCAAGAAGACTGACTACCAAAATTATTTAAAAAACCTAGTCGCTTCATGCTACAGAAACCGGAGATAAGCTTCGGCCTGATGGGCCACTTGGCTCGTATGCAGACTTTACCTTTCCTAAGCAAAAAGACTTAAGTTGCTTGCAGTGTGTGACTGACATCTTTCACAGGACAGGTTCTGAACAGAACCTGTCACTAGACTGCAGTCCCTTGCATCAGCTGTATTACTAGCATATAGTTTACAGTGAAACCTGTATTAAGCGGACACCCTTGGGACACTAACTAGTGTCCGCTTATACAGGGTGTCCGCCATAAACAGGTTCAAATGTATTGTGCAATAATAGTTTATTAGTAAACCTTTCGTAACACAGTGTAAGATCAATGACTGCTCAGAGCACAATATCCAGTCAGTCAATGCATCAATCTGGAATAATATACTTAGCTTTAAAACGACATCACTGAACAATGTTAAGGAGTCTGTGCTGAGCTTTTAGAAGTAAAAAGCCCTTGAAATGTCCATTTATCGCAGGTTTTGCGCAGCAAAATGGCTTGATATTTGTGTCTGCGTCTGCTTAACAGAGGTGTCCGCTGAATGCAGGTTTATTTTACAGTAAATGTGGGAAGAAAATTTAGGGACTCAAGCTGGTGTCCACTTTATAGAGGGTGTCCGCTTGATATGGGGTCCGCTTAATACAGGTTTCATTGTACTCACGTCACTAAAGCACCAATCATAAACCAGCGCGTAAACTGGCATCATTCTGATTTGTAAGGTGAATGCTCCTTCATAGTCAGGTTCTGTTTCGATATGCCGACCAGTTTTACGGGTTACCATGTCCATTCCCTGTGGAAACAAAATTTTATGTTATCTGTAAGTACCACAATACACTATGATGTATAAGCAGTAAAGCAGCTACGACACGGTTTGTGCATCTTGAAAAGTTTAGCCTAAGTTTGTCAACTTCGTTGTTTGTAATCCGTGTCAATCTTCTCCATCCTTTAACCATCCTTGTTCCTTTATGGTTTATTGTCATCTCTTTGGTGTTTTTCTGTCTTGGTGAACTACTATTTTCAGGTTTCCTTCTATTTAAAGGTAATTTTGTACGTAGCCAAAATAACTCAAAATAGCGTGCTGTTTCGACAAAGGTTGACCCAAAAAAGCGTAAAAGCGTCCGCGACAATGGTTATGCCGATTGGTATTATGCGTAATGATAGTTCATCATAGCTTGATTGTGGTTCACGGTGTTTCAGCAAGAATGAAGGAGAAAGAATGAATACACATGTTTGTGATGTTTCTTTCTGTCGAGCTGAAACACCTTGATAGAAGACAGAGAGATGGTAAGTGCTGGCACTTATGTCCAGGATTGAATACAAGTATTGTTTAATTAGTACTTCATATTTGGCAGGGTTATTTGACGTTTTCATTTCACTTCATATTTAACAGAATTGTGTGTGTTTTGGTGACTTTTTACCAGTGAAGACACTTTGTGATGCTGATCACAAGGAATTTGAATCTCATTAGCGTTCAATCCTGGACTTATAGCACTTGCCACTGTTTGTTTAATGTTAGCACTGAGTCTCCATTGTAGTAGTGGTAGTAGGCATCCTTCGTACTTGAGGTTCATGGATTAGCAATCCCAGTGTTGGCTCGGTGCAGCGTTTGCTGTGGCTAAACAGTCTAATTTGTGATTTACAGTCTCACAGATACGACCGCAGTCCTGGCAGACAAACTCTGCCTCGTGTAGGAATTCTGAAATTTCATAACTGGCCTTCCTCTTTGCTATTTTCCCCTCTAAGGCTAGCGTGATATGTTGTTCTCCAGCTGGGAGTGTTTGCGCATCTCTTTTCTTCCTGCCGTTGGCCAGTGCCCCTCCGTCTCTACGTTGAACCCGGTGGGATTCACGTCCCTTTTGCACACATCCTCATAACAAAGTTTTGCATGGTCGCATGTTTATTTGATTTTTCTCTTATTCACTTACCTGCATACATTTAAGCAACCCAAAGAACTTGTCCAAAAACTTAATGAATTTTCCTCGCAGTTCCTCTGTCCACTCTGTCGGCTTGTGTAGCAGAATATACCTAAAGGTATTTATTTAACAAAGTAATAATAATTCAAATAAACCTTAGTGTTCATAGGCCATAAAGTTCATTTTTTTTACTTGTGATTACTTTTGTGATTACTTTTGCTCAGGTTCTATAACACAAAATGTTTACTCACTTCAGGTCTGTGATCATGAAATGGGCTCTTTTGAGTTTTTGAGATTGCTTCTGAAACTCAAAGGTTCCCTGATCTAAAATAAACAGGAAAAATACTAAAACTGAAGACTGCACAGTGTGGAGATGCACTTGATTACAAATTATACCAAGTTATACAATCATAATTTTTTTTCCTTTCTATCTGTCGGGCCCCCCATTGTTCAAAGGAAGGCTACCACTATCCACCAGATCAGTCGCTCTGTTGTGAATAGCCTGAGTAGGAGGGAGTTTACGAAACCACGACGGCAACGGGAACGTCACTTAGCAAAAGAATTAATGAGCAGTACAATGGCTGTGCACTTGCCTTATAATTCTTGGGACATTTCTTTGCCGTCCTCTGCAAGACCCACAATAAGCACTTAATGACTGAACCCAAGGGAAATAGTGAGTCGAGGGGAAACAACACTCACTGTTTCCCGCGGAACCAGTCATTAAGTGTTTTGTTATACTTCCCAACTCAAAAATAGAAAAACACTGAGAAGAAATCGTTTGCTTGACACCGGCTGGCTCACAAATTTGCCGCGGTTTCAAGGAGTACGACCTGATCACGTGAGAGTCGAAAGTTCAAGTTGTTGTTTCCCTAGGGAGTTAGTGAGTTTTGTTCGCCATAAGGAGTTAGTGAGTTTTGACCCAAAACACGTGACACGTTCTCCTCAAATCGAAAAATGTATTTGAGTTGGGAGGTATAACAACGTGAAATGACCAAATTCTGCGTTGTATGGAGAAAGTGAACAACGACGGCTAATTTTTTAAAATTTTATTTCAAATTTATCGCTGTGTTCCGGATTTAGTTTTGCGATAGTTTTGACAGTAATAAACAAAGTAAATGACCTAAGAGTATCACAAGATTGGTAGGTAAAATGTAAATATATTTTAAACTCGACTTTGTCCCTCAGCGTCACCGCCCTGGTTTCGTAAACGCCTTAGTATTAACACGACATACTATGCAATCCACTATAAAGTATTTTATCTAGTACATAGCATCATCTACTCTTAAGACAAACAGGTGCAGAAACAATAATTATAGAGCCCAAACTTACCATTTAGGAAAGGCTGCAGTTGGTCCATAAATGCCCAAAGAATCACTTCCAATACATTACGTTCTAATATTAACATTCGTCCCTAAAATGAGAACACATAACAGGGTGTCAAGGCTTCAAGTAGGTATATTGTGATTGGCTGCCTGCATAAGCAAGTTAGCCCCATTCCACCCTCTCGGTAGACAATCACAAGGCATGCGATGTATTTTTCCTTCCTTTTCATTGGCCCAGAGCCCACCACATGACCTGTAAATAACGTCCGATGAATAATGGTCTGCTCATGCATAATGCCGTCTAAAAGCATTTTGCTGCAAATAATATTCTGCTCATGCGTAACTGTAACCAAGCTCTTGTATGAAAAATGGCAGACCACTTCCTTGAGCTGTCAGAGAGTGATTTAAAACGAACTTGGTGATCGAATGAATATTGAACTCAGGTAGCACAACATAACATGATTTGACAGTATCTTGCAGATCGATTATTTGTCAAAACACAATATTTTGCTCAACCTCGTCCAATAACTGTTAATTATTAATTACCCTGTATAATTACCATCATTAAAATAATATCTTACTATTGTGGGGACAGTATACAGTTGAACTGATAAAGATGCCACCTGTTGAAAATAAACCGGAAGTAATTTAGATTTTCAAATACATTATACTTAGACCATGCATATGTATCATTTTACATACATTTACAAAGCACAATAAATAATGAGCAGTAATACTAAATTAATTTTCTCCACAGACATAACATTTATCTGTTCAAAGAAGTAACAGCTTTCCAAGAGGAAAGTTCAACAAATACAGTGTACTGTGAGTTTCAATTAATAAACAATAAATTATTGAATGAGGTTTTTGTGATATCCAGAATAATCAAGGTCAAGGCAGGGGTTGTCAGCTGAAGCCAAAGGCTGAGGCTGATAACCCTTACCAAGACCTTTATTATTTGGATATCACAAAAACCGAACCTAATGATTGTTTTATTATACATTGAACAAAAAAAANAAGTCGTCTGGCAACCAAATCATTAGATGAGCAAACTAAGACTTGCCCAGGGCAAGCAAAAATTTGAGAGCTACTTGTTCCAAGGGCAAGCTGCAATCCAAGTTTATTTTAAGCCCTGATTAAATTTCAGGTTTCTTCCATTTCTAAAATGGTCATATGCCCACAGTACATGAATCATTATTAATTATTATTAATTACTGTTTCCTACCTTGGTGAAATGAATAGCAAATGCTTTCTTTCCCACAGGATCCATCAACATTCTACAGAAAGAGTGGACAATGACTGTCTGATCAATTATTCTTTGGACTAAAAATATGTCTTGACAAGTTTTGAAAACCCCAAAACAAACTTAATTTACTTAATAAATACAATACTTACGTGTTCATGAACAACTTGTGGGTGTGGGCTCTCGCAACTAAAACGAAAACATTACTTTAGTCGTGTACCAGGGCTTTGTGAGCTTTATACATAATTATTTAGGTACAGTACTAAGAGGAGAGGCAGCCCCAAAGAACAGGTTTCTAATCTAGTCTGCCTGGCTGTTCTGAGATACAGGTAGGCAATGATTTTCATACAACATCAAACAGACAGTCCACCCTGACTCAAGCATGGTGAGTGGTGTCATGCTTTGATTGACAGCTGCCACGCTTTTGTTTTTGACTGTTTTGTTAATGCATACAACCAAACTGAACTGTTACGTTGTAGGTACAGTACCTTTCCACAATGTCGAGTCAGATAGGAGCACTCTGCTAAGAAGATCAGAATCTTCTTTGGGTATAAGGACAGTGTTACAAAGGATTCGCCTGAGACCATCTAGTAGAACACAAAATGTATATTGTCAGTTACTGGAATGATATTCTTATCCTCACCTCTATAGGCGTAGGCTGGAGGACCTAAATAAAAGCCTTACTGGAGGGTTATACACGTATGTAACTTAACTGGCTGGGATGCAAGGTCATCGCAGGTTTTAACTCAACTTTGCCAGTTTATAACAATTTATATCATAATTAAATGAATGCGTGCACTCTGATTGGTCAATCAGCTATGGTTTATTGTGCCAGTAAACTCATGGAAATTTCGCGTGTCTTCTGAATTATTATATAATTTAAGCAATATACCACAAGTTTCTCTGGTTTGAAGGCATGAAAAACCACTTGGGATGTTGGAAGAACACTCTAAGAATTCGTAAATCACTTGCCTGCAGCTCGTGATTTACGAATTCTTCTCGTGTTCTTCCAACATCCCATGTGGTTTATCAGCCTATAAACCATAAAAACTTGTGGTCTATTGCTTAATTGTGGGCATGCATCCAGTTATGTATACCATTAGCTGAGCAGCACACATCTCTGTTTACACATACATGTAAGTTTGTCCTCTACTGAACAGACATTTGACAATTATTGAGTGTAAGGTCTATTAAGTGTGATTTGATGTTATCCTTATGTACTGCATGTGGTCCAGACGAACATAATCTGATAGGTAAAATGATTGATAAAGATTTTGATCATCTCAACAGCTTGCATTTTTGCCCTGACCTTTGAACGCTGGCCATTTCTAAAGCCTTTTTCATGAAAAATCTTAATGGGCAGGCTGGGTATTGAAACCAGATGAGAAGAACTATTGACCTTACGAGTTCAATCAAATTGGCTTTGGCGTTGATGAAGACAAAAAACATGAACAAAACCAGAATGTAATCCATCCAAGACTTCTACATGTTCAACTAGACCAAACAAGCTTGATCATCGACGACCAAGAGCTTGAAACCAAACACATTGAGAACATCATTATCATGTTTTGACATGTTTCAATAATATTTTTTTTGCTAACAAAAAGAAGTGGACAATCATTAATTTTAACAAACCTGAATAATTTGTGATCTTATTTAGCCAGCCTAGCATCTGAACAGCACACATTTGATGAGCGATGACTTTATGATGCATCACACGGCACTTCAGTGGTTTATGACTAGGTCCTGACGTGCCTTGCTGTGACAAAGCACAAACATACAATAAGCTGCGGAGTTATCAAGTATAACTAAACTGTCTAGTTTTATCCCTACCCCTTGGAATTGAACTTCTTTATAAGAAAAACTTTCCTCTATATGGTCAAACAGGTGGGCCAAATCGTCATCACAGTCAGCCAATTTGTGCAGTGCCTGGCCCTTTATGAAGCCCCTGCTACACTGTAAATTAAAATACTTGTTTCATCACTTCTGCTCACAATCTTATTTTATTATTACCTTGATCAATCTTCTGGAATGCTCACATTCACTATAACTTCCTGATCTTACAATGGATCTTCCCTAATGAAAGAAAATGAAGGTTTCAACATCTTGAAGAAGCATACACTGCACATGCTACATAACTGTAAAAAATAGTTCAATATGTAGGATATACAATCATGTATGTGAATAATACAATAAGAAAAAAAAATGTGTTTAAGATAGTCAAGTTGGTAACTATCAAGTTGAATACATCATTCTATGATGAAATAAAAATCAGGGATGAAAATGTTAATGTGACTGTGTTCACCACTATGCAAGGGAGTTGAAGAAATGCACACAAAAAATTGAAAGGTGTACTCACCCAAAAGGGCAGACACTTGCTTGGGCAAGTGGGTTAGCACTATAACTTTTTCATTACCCTCTTTGGGAATGTGCTTTGTAGACCAGTGGATTTACAAAGTGGTTGTTCACTTAGGATAAACATCACATCATGTATTACTTAACTTATAATCCATCAAATATTTTCATTCATGCACAATTGGTCTAAATGCGTCACGTGACCAAATATTCCCCAGTTACAAAACTGGGGAATATCTGAGAATATTCCCCAATTTTCGAAACTGAGTGTGTTGTGAAAAATATTTGAAGGATAATAAACAAAATAGCCTCCATTTGACTTTGAAAATATGTTCGGATATTTGTCCTTGGACATTATCTGTTTCTCAGAGCTCACAGTTTTCCTCGAGCTTCGCTCTCAGAAAACTGTTTACTTCTTGGAACAGATAATGTCCGTGGACAAATATCCGAACATATTTTCACGCCAAATGGAGGCTATTGTTTGTTTATTACATCATTTTATGTCTTACCTCCCTGTCCACAATATTAGCATAAGCTAGAGCCTGGGTTTGGGTGCACCTGGGAATTGCTTGCTGTAATGTTCGTATCACCTGTCAAGGTACAATGTTCATTTTGTACAAATGTGCAACCACATTTACATCTACAGTATGTATCTCCATGTTCAATCAAAAGTTTAAAATTATATGCAATACAGTGGTACATGTACATGTAGTTACCTCTAATATGTTTTAGAGCTCTTATATCACACTGCACCACCTGGGAGGTGTATTGCCAACAATAGAGGGAGGGCTCATTTCTTTAATACTCAAGTCATAAATCAGACAAAATAGATAGAATGGGGAGACTTTTAAAGTTTATTTCTGGATTAGACTCTTCTCCATAAAAAAAACTGTATTTAATGCAACATGAAGGGGGAAGAAAATTCCATTTGAAGACATAATCTTCTTGAACAGCAATTAAATATTACTTTTTCGTGTCCAAAAAATTATACATGCATTTACGTAGTCTGTTTTGCTGTGGCCGTGATCCTAATTTCAGTCGTACTTTACATTACCGAGGTGCTATACATGTATTTTCTCACCCACTGTGGACATCAGGTGGGACCACGCAGCAAAGATAAGGTCTTGCCGTGCTCTGATAAGTAGATACTTTCAGGCAATACTAAATCGTCTTTGCTTAAAATGTTTGGAACACAGAGGGGGCCTTAGGAGAAAAAACATGAAAGACTGCATTTGTTCATAGTTTATCGTAGGAAAAGATTTTCAGGGCATACATACCTCCTCATAAGTATGAACTTCATCATTGAACAATACTGTGGCAAAGGTGTCTTCATTACAACTTCAAAGAACAAAACATTATTTTAATTATCTTGTGTCAAATAACTACTGGTACAAATCAGGAACAATTATTTCCCCCACCGAAGAATGAAGGGTGAAGGACAAATACACTGATCAGACCCTTTTGGGTTGTGTTCTTGGGCAAGACATTGTCTTAAGACTATGGTATCTTTATAAACGTACGAGTACTTACAGGCACCAGCAAATTATTAGCTACCTGTATATGTACTGCAAGGACAGCTCCATACAGTGCTGACAAAATGTAGGTACATGTCACTTGCAAATATTTTAATATGTGGCATCCACTGTATGAGGGTAAGCAATAACACAGATTAACTACTCATAACCCCTTTATGCTGCAGAAACAAGAGTTAAGAGATCACATGCACATGCTTCTGGCACCACAAACTACCAGGGCCAAACTTTACCTCACAGGATCTAGTTATTATACAATAATGTGATAGTAGAGCAACATAAACAAATCTTTATCAATGTTGACTCCTATTCTCTAGACTATGTCTTAAGTGCAGCCTTCACCTTCATCCTGTACACACACAGTTTAATGAAAACTTACGTTACATCAAGGTAATCTGGGAGTTCATCCGTTTTGTCCCAGCAGATGAGATCAATGCAGTAATTTAAAACAACACTGTAAATGTCAACTCCTCGTTCCAGTACATCCTGAGGCAGCTTAGCCATTGGATTCTAGAGTGAAAAGAGAACACACAGTCAAATTCGTCATATTAAAAGTGCATGTCTACATGTACTATTACAATATCAGCTCACAATTTCATCAGAGAGGCATATTTTCATTGATCAACAATCTTGAGATTACTACTGACTGATAGCAACATACAGCAAGGGGCTTTAGCTATCAATGAAAGTTACGGAATCCTGTCAGCCTGAGCAGCCTTACTTTCAACACCTCATCTATTAAACCCACAATATCTACTGTAAAACTTATTTTTTCAGGTGCCTTTTTTATCTAGTCTTTGGCCATAATACACAAACCCTGGGACATGCTCAAAGAGCCTTTACCCCTTTACCATCATGGCAGATAGTATGTGTGGCCAGCCACATTATGAGCAGTAACAGGGTTAGGTTAATGATGAATATTACATGTAGGCCCATGAAACATCTGCATAACTTTTCAAAAATGTATTTTTTCAATTACATTGCAAAACAGTTGACACGTTCTTGTTGTTGATACGCTATGGCATGGAGCAATTAAGGGGGTCAGCTTTATCTGAGGATTAAGTTCTTCCCTGCTGGCACCCTATTTGCATGCATGTAGATATTTACATATTTGATGCAAATAAAGTTGTTATAAATAAATTGAATACAAGGGCAGATCAGCTGATGTATTACGTTTACACAATAGAATGCTGAATGTTCAGTTTGTACTAGCTTTGATACACACACTTAGCTTGCTGCGTATTATTTGCTAAATTGTCAAAGTACTTTTAGTACCTCATCCATGTCAGTATCGCCTGTGTGTTGATGTGTGTCACAGGCCACACCATCCTTCCAGGCCTCAGCATCACCACAATCACAAAATCCTCCACCTCCAGAGGTGTTCATCTGTAATTTACAGCCAGAGAATAACAAATAGCAATGAATTCAGTATGCCTGCCCAATAAAAAATGAATGGGTTTCACAATGCCACTGGGATAGAAGTGGGAGGTTTAAACATTTTATTACATTCTTTGTTTTGTTTTGTTTGTTTTACAGTATAATTACAGATTGTCAATACTTCATGAAGACCCAGCTGCGATTTATCATACAAAAGAGCCTTCTCCCAAGGGAGCCCAGCTCCTGGTTGGTATATAACAAGTATTTATATTCATCTTACAATCTCAAATTGAAAAAAAAGCAACCATCAATCAAAAGTGCATGTACTGTATCACAGACTAGGCTTGTACATCTTAAGGTTACAGTATACCTTCAGATCGGCAATTTTCTTCAAATTTGGATTTTTGGTTCAAACTAATGGTCTAAGAGTAATCTCTAATTTCTGAAAACAAAATTGAAAAAAACCTAATATTGGC